CCCCCTGCAGCAACACCAGGAATGGATGAACAGGAAGAACCTCTTTATGTGAATGCTAAACAGGTATTTTTTTATTACCAAATAATTATGATTTTAATCGTTTCAATTGATTAAAAATTTTATCATCAAATAGTATCACAGAATTTTGAAACGTCGAGCTGCTAGAGCAAAACTTGAGGCTGAAAATAAGATACATAGAGGAAGAAAGGTTTGCTTAAACTTTTACGTAGCTATAAATGAAATCAAAATATTAACTACTTATGATTTATTGGTGTGACAGAAATACCTTCATGAATCTCGTCATAAGCACGCCATGCGACGACCTCGTGGACCAGGTGGTCGCTTTCTTACCGCTGCTGAAATTGCTGAACTAGACCGGAAGAAGGAAGAATCATCTCCTCAACCACAAGTTTCTCAGCAAAATGGTTCTGGATCGGATACCCTGAATCTAATAGTAGAGAATGGCATCAGCAAGAAATCCGCAAATGAAAATAAATGAGTGTCTAAATATATTTTTTTTTTTATAATGAAAAAAAAAGATAACCCATTTTAACTATTTAGACAGATTTCATTCCTTTTTTCTCTTTCTCTCTCTCTCTATATATATTTTTTATTTTTTATTTTATTTTTATTTTTATTCTTTTTTGGAATGGGGTGGGAGTTTCAGACACATTTTTTTTGATCTATTAATACAATTTCATCACACATAGACTTTTTCCTAAATATTAGTGATTTGTTACTTTATAATTTGAAGTTTTTTTTTTTTTTAAAAAAAAAAAAATGTCGTGAACTGATAGTAATTGAATTATTTTCAGTTCTTGTTTTTTATGAATTAATAAATAAGTTGATTTTTTACATCGTTTCGTTATAAAATAATAGATAAATTTTTCTCTATCAAAGTTTTGAAAGATTTAATAACATTACATTTCAAAATTTTTAACAAAGGTGGTCTTAATATTTTTTTGTTTGCTTGATATTTATTACTACTTCGAAATTGATTTATTGATACATTTTAGTATGTTCTATATAAAAAAAAAATTATAAAAGAGTATTTTACATTGATATTGTTTAGCGTTTTTTCTTCCTAGTTAAATATAATCTTTTTTTTTTTTTATACATTTTGCATATTGAACAAAATTTGATTTGAGGATGTATTTAAAATATTATTTGTGTCAAAATCATTTTCGATATTTTTACTACCTTCAACCATTCTGGGATTATACTTAAGATAGAAATTCAATCCCACGGCAAAAAAAAGTGCAAGACAAACCAATGGAGGCGCTATGATATCATCTAATAATAATAATAATAATAATAATACATTATCATCATTATTATTTCTCTCGAATTTTAATGTGAAGAGAATTTTAAAAACTTACCATAAGGGCCTGGATGTCTGTTATTAATCATCGTGAGCCTCTGATTGTATTTTACTAAAGAATATATCAACACAACGATACTAATAATTGCATAAAAAAATCCACTTAAAGTTCCCACTTTGTCTTCAGTGCCACCGGCATTAAACAATGCCAAAGAAAATGAGCCTAGCAGTACACTAAATCTCATCCAGTGGAAAAAGGTTCTTTCATTGGCAAAGAAAACCTTGGGCTCTACACGCACAGGTGTGTTAATCTTATTTGGTATACGAATATTTGGTGGTAAAACAACTAATTCGGGAGCTGAACGTTTTTTTCGCCGAAACATTTGACGTAAAGCTTTTAGTCCAATAGGTCTTTGTTGTTCCTCGTCCTCGTCCTCCTCCTCCTCTTCTCCAAGTAAGGGTGAATTTTCATTACCCATCGTTTCTTCTTCAAGGTTATAATCAACGGCTTTACCTTTGTTTTTCCTGCTTCTATTACTACTATCGCCTACAACCTCGACATTAATGACATTTTTTCCTGACATAGTTTTTTTCGGACGTACTGCTGTATATGCAGAAGAGGTAGATTGTTCAGGATAATCCTCTTCTTGAAATTGACGAGTGTTTGGAGGTTTCAAAATATTTTTATCGATATTTGGTAGCTATATAAATAAAATCAAGTTAAAATCAACACAAACAGGGTAAAAGTACACAGAACTATACTTTAATACATACCCAATATGGTAGAGAAGGTGCATGAGAAGTGAATAATGTAGCAACTCCATGAACATATTTCGAAAATTGAGGGGCTTCTTCGACTAAATGACTGTTTATCAATTCTTTAACCCAAGCTGGTTCTTTTTCCTCTTCGTCTAACCTAAGTTTGACTTCTAATAAAGCATAAGGAAACTTGGCACATTCAGATGATGGTAATTTACCAAATTGATCATTGTCAATATCTGAACGACGCCATTCACCATCTTTACGACGGGGTACACCATCAAAATTATCCTCGCGAATCATATAAAAGTCGGTATCAAGTGAAATTCTAACACGATGATCACCAGGAATTTGGAACGCCATACGATTATAATAAGTACGAAGAATGGATCCCAATTTTTTTTCCTTGATAGTATCTTGGATATCTTTAATCAAGTTTTGAAAATGTTGAACATCATCTTCCGTTTTTGAAGGATCTTCCTTCATCTTCTTGATCATTTTATCCATGGAATAATCTCCTTTTAAGAATGCATCAACATACTTTTGTTTGATTAAAAATCTATCCTTAATTTCATCTTCCCCTTGTTCGCGTATTTTTCTTTCAACAAAAATATCATTATTCATTTTATTACCGTACCATCGTAACCTTATAGTTTGACCACCTGGCTTACGATCAACTTTATCTTGATAAAATTCAAATATTTCATTATCAAAATAAATTGATGTGACCGACGAATCAGTACCAGGTTTATAAATTAAAACAGGAAGGTGACGAAGGATTGTAGTTTTAACTTCCATAATATTATCTTGGTGCACCCAATAATTATAAGATTGACGCAAGACTTTCTCTTGGGATGGCATGACTGTGGAAGGATTCCATGATGACGCTGGTAAAGATGAGAAATTTTGGGTAGAAAGAAGTTCACCAGTAGGTTGATCAGCTCCTAATCCTTGATGAACAGTATGATAGAGCTTAGAAAGCCGAACGATGATTGGTTCATAGGTTTCTTTATAGAATGGACAGTCGTTCAAACGAACGCTAAACATGGGACGCAGAATATAATTTGTACGTCTAGAAATAAAATAAAAGATCAGTAGATTCATAAGTGAAACAATTCAACTTTACAGTAAAAAAAAAAAAAATGTTTTGTTACCTGTCATGTTTCTTTACAATTTTTATAATTCCAGTATAATTTAAACGAGCATATTTGGCTAGCTCATTTAATTCTTCAGTAATATCATTAATTCCTCGTTCAACTTCGGCATATCTATTAGGTACGTTCATAGAAGAGACGTTATTTATACTTGCAACAGCATTTTCACAAGCCTGGACCCGTACTTTAATTTCTTCATATTTGGAGTTTTGAAAAGCATAAATCTAATCGAATAGTATAAAAGGGTAAAATGAAAGGATAATTAAGGTGACAAATATATATATAATAATTCGATTAATACATGTAATAATTACCTTTTCTAGTTCTTTATCTAACCGTTCAACAAAGTCACTTTCATCTTTTTCAGTAATACCACCTTCTTTTTTCTCTCCACGTTTAAGGTGTTTTTTTAAACCGTCATAATCGAGATAAAACTCGTTCCATTCACCGTACAAAGCTTCTCTAAGCTGGCTACCAAATTTCATGTTTTACAATCGATTCTTACGGTCGAATTAAAATTAATTTTTTTAAAAAAAAAACAAAAAAGAGGAAAAGTATTATTTAAAAAATTTCCTTCCGTTAGAGAGAGACTGATCGATGAATTTTTTATGACATATGTAAAAAGAATCCAAACCGAAAAAAAAAAAAAAAACGCCGAATTTTAAATTGGAATTTTAAATTATACAAATATATTAAAACGCCTCATTGATGAGATCGTAAATTGTGAAACTCTGGATTAACTTTAAATTTCACAAATTTTTAATTAGGAGATTGCTTATCTAACCTATCATGGATTTATAGTTTCACTAAATTTTGACAAATTTTAAATTATTGCAATTTAATGTTATTAGTAGTAAATTCTTTTCATTAATTTATTTCGCTTCTCTAGCATTTCTGATTCGCTAAGTTTCACCAACTTTGAGTATTATCTATGACTGTACCAACAATAAATTCAAGTTCGCGACAAGAAAGTAAAATAGTCGGAATCACTGTAACTTTTCTTTGATTTTTTGTAGAGGGACAGTGGCGGTTGGCGTCTCAGTCACGGTATAGGTATACTGGAAAACGTCATACAGAGTAAGGCCTTAAGCACGCATGCCATAGGAAATTCTTGAAGAATGCTTTCAAACATTTGACATTGGAAGTAATGCCAGTAGGTGTACACAACGCAACCTGGACATTAGCATACAGGGTAAGACCTTGAACACGCATGCCCAAGGAAATTCTGAAGACTAGTGCCAAGCGTCTAAACGCAGGAAGCAAATGGCCAGGGATGCACGTGAAAGAGTTTGACTTTCCACTCGATCAAGGTATCGCTAAGCCACATAAATGCTTTACGCGTAGTCGCGTATTAGACATGTAAGAACTTCGTTTTTGATGTTTGAATCACTGAACAAGTACTTTGATCAAACCTTATATAAGTAATGGTCGATTATTAATGCCTTGCATACATAGAATCAAAAGCCGAATTATCTTAAAGATACATCAATAATACCCTCAATTCGCTATTTTATATACTTTAGTTCTTATTAATAAATGAATATTATAGCGATAAAATTTATCTTTTTTCGTTTATTTTAGTTTATTTCTATCCTTAAACAATGATACATAGTTGTAAAACTGTGTAGAAAAAAAGCAAAAGCAAGAATTTCTATCGCTTGCCAACCATCGCCAAACACAACTATTTTAAAATGTTTAGAACAATGTCTAATATTCCCAGCAGAATTGTACTCTAAAATTAAATTATATAATTCACAAACAAACATTTAAAGTACATATGGTTCAGTTCCCGGTACATCGTACGGGAAAAAATCTAATTTTTGCCTTTTAGCATCTGGGATTTGACGATAAAACTCTTCTTCGTTAATAAATGGCCGCTTGCTAAAAACGTCACGGATTTTAGCCTTACCAATACCCTCAAGACAATTTAATAACCTATTTTTATCCCAGAAATTGGGATTAATATTTTTAGTAAAGGCAAACATGGCTCGTGATGAAAAAACGGGGCCAAATTGGAACACTTGATTTTTGTTCTGATTCGTTATATGGTTGTGTAGTAAAAATGATTGTCATGGGTTCATAATTTTCATGAAGATCAAGTGTACCATAAAAGCCGTTATTATTTTTGACTTCTTCATTATCAACATCATCCTCGGTCATCGTTTTTGAAGCGTAGTCCCATTTGCTTTGGTCCATTGTGAAGAAACTGGTATCATCGGTTTCTCTAACAAAGAATATATCTGCAAATTCAGCAGATTTACCATTAAGAACTACGACGTCCCCATTTTTCCAGTCAATTTGTTCATTACGTTTGGTTGTCAGCTTCATATTTGCTGGAAATTGCTCGTTCGCCTCACAAACACGGAGCGATTTCAATTTCACAAAAAATTCAAGTCAGAATCCATCCCACAGGCACCAGGATATAGTTCCCAGAAAGAAAGCTTTTCATATCCCATTCTAATTGCTAGATTCGTACGAAATGCTTCATGATGTGCTACAAACACTTCCCATTCTTGCCAATACATGGAAGAATCATCTTGAAAGACCTTCTTCGTAAGATCCGAATCAACAATTCGCAAGATATCGTTATAGATGCTGATAAAAAAGAATGGCATTTTGATCAAGTACAAATTACAGTTTTCGGCGCGGGTGAGAACAATATGTCTGTCACGTTCCAGACTTCTGATCATGAGATCCGGCTTTTTATCATCTAGACAAGTATCAAGGGTAACATGAATCCCTTCAATACAATAATACATAAGTTTAACGACAATTTCATAATTATCTTTATCCGTAATAAAATGTTCTATTTTATACTGTTCATTAAGATACCATTTAACTTTTTCCAAAATATAGTTATAGTCATGTTTAGTAAGTTCCTCAAAAAACACGTCCATCTTTACCATATTCCCCAAAGATGATGATAAAGAGTCGCTGAAGTGCACGAGGCAATCCTCCAGTGTCCATTAGAAGTTGAAGTATTGGATAACAGCTCTTCCACTCATACGCGCGATTTTGAACTTTAGCTTTAAACTTCCTTGCAAAATGATCCATGATACGAATCATAGATGCAATGTTCAATAATGGACAATTAACAAACTCAAATGAGACATTTGAAGGTTCTGTTTGTTCAACGACAGCATGTGGCGCTGTTCCTGAAAGGAACGGCTGGACAAAAATAGTTAAGGAAGGGCCAATCATGTAATTCGAAAGATAGTGGATCGTCTTATAGAAGACATTTTTTGGCGGATTTGTTACATCTTGCTTATCCCAGGAATCAATTGTCTGAAATTCATCAATATGAATATATAGAAAGAGTTGTTTTTCATTAGAGATCTTCAAGAATTCATGACAATAAATTATGACAGTATCAACGTGAAAAAGTTTAATAATTTTGTCCCCAAAACCTATAACTTTAAGAAGGAATGCTCGAAAGTTTATTACATATTTTTTTTCAATAAAAAACGCGTATGCAATGCGCAAGCCAATAATCACTCTTGCATCTAGTTTGTAATCATAGTCGTCAAGGCTGTAGCCATTTCCGAAATCTATAAAGATATATTCGAAATGTATATTAGTCCATCTTTGAAAAACTCTCATTTTTGTGATCTCATCAGACAAATCGCGATAAAGGTCTTGGAAATACTGTGGCAAATTTTCTTTGACGCAATTAAAAAGTTCCCAGCCAAACCGAGTTTTGCCTATTCCCAAAATTTCAGATACAGGTGAGCGATTGATACAGATCATTTAAAAAAGTGCAAGGAAACAAAACCTATCCCGGGGCTCCTCCACTGACGAGGCACCAGTAATTTGATTTGCCTTCCAGGCCCACCATATTACTATATATTGTTTTTCATTGTACTATTGAAGTCACGCTGTTGTAATGGCATGTCTAATTCGTTAGACGGTTTAGGATCACGCTCTATCAAATCTTTTGTAATATTATCAATAATGTCTCTGACTGAAGGAGTGGTAATATTTACATTAAAATTGGATATTTGTATTAATTTACATAATAACAATTGTGTGTGCACTTACGGGTTTTTGGAGGTGATCCTTTAAAAAAATCATGACAGATAAATGAGATATAATCAATATAATCTATTTCCTTGTTCGAGAGGTAAAAAATTGGGAGACACTTACCAGTTGTGACGTACGATGGGGTTGTACGATGATGTTTATGATAAGTTTAGTGGGATTTTCTTCCGAAAGATGTTCTGGTTCGTTAAAATATGTACCAGCTTTTCCAAATGGGTCTAACTCTCCGCCTCCAAGCTCTTTTTCAACATCACTAGCACGTATTTTAATTTCCAATTTCATATTGTTGGTAGGTATTGTCACCTTCCATAGAACTAGGTCTTTTGCATTAATATTATCGCTAATGAAATCGTTTTTTACTTCGTCCCAAATGACTTTCTTTAGGATGGGAATTTCCATGTCTTTACTGATATAGCATCACCAAGAACGAGGCAGTATAACATTATGTCGGTATATCTGAAAAGAAAAAAAGAATGTTTTTTGCTAAGAAAGAGGATGTTGCACTCGAGACGCGTTTTATATAAATTAAAATTCACATTTTGATTTTGAATTTTATGATTTGAAAATTAACGCTCATTTAGAATTGAATTTATCAGTATCAGTAGAACCAAAATCAAAATAAATTAATGAATATATTAGAGTTTTTTCAAATGTAAAATTCTATCGATCGCAACTGAAAACTTACAGTATTGCTTAATAAATGGTATACAAATAGAGATGTTAACGGTTCGACCAGTTCGGTTTCGGTCCGATTTTTATCGGTTTAGGGTAAAATCGAACTGGATCGGTTTGTAGACCGATTTGAAACTGGAGTCTAGACCGAAATTTAGACCGGAGTTTAT